CAACCAAGAATACACAAGATCTATAGGTAGAAAACTAAAACTCTATTAAAGGACACAGACAGTTTGAATAAATGGAAAGACATTCAAAGCTCTTAGAGGAGATAGGTTAATATTATAAAAGTGTTGATTTTCCCTAAATTAATCAATACCATCCAAAGTAATCCAAAATGAAAATTTAAGTTTTGAGGAACTTATCAAACATATTCTAGAATTTATATAGAAAGATAAAGGTCCACAGCAGCTGAGTCAACCTTATAAAAGGAAGGTAAAGAGAGGAGACTTAAAGTAGCAGATATTAAGACTTGCTTCAAAGTCATCATATTAAAACCAGAAAAGAATGAGCACAAGAACAGACAGACCAAGGAGATAAATAGCTGAGAGACAGAGCACATATATACAAACCTAATGTACAATAAAGCTGGCAGCAGAAGTCGAAGGGAGAGAGAATGGACAGTTCAGTAGATGTTGGTAGGAAAAATGACTCTTCATATGGATAAAAATAAAATGGATCTTCATGAAACACCATATACAATGGTAGATATTTGCTAGACAAATCATGAAGCCAATAAAAAAAAATGTAGGTGCACATCTCTGTGACATGGATCAGAAAGGCATTCTTTACAACATTACTTGAAAATCATAAACTAGAATGCAAAAAAGAAAAGACGAATTTAAATATATAAAAAGTAAGGCCTTATACTCAAAGGAAGGATATCATACATAATATTAACAGACAGATGACAAGATGGAAAGACACATTTTAAAAATCTACAACTAACAAGGGATTAATATCTAGACTACAGAAGGAACTTTACAAATAAACAAGGAAAAGATGGCAATTGCAAGATAAAAATGGGCAAAGGACATAAACTGGCAAAAAAAAAAAAAAGAAACAGAAGAGAAAACCTAATAAACAGGCATATGAAAATATGCTCAAACTCATCATTAGAGAAATATAAATTAAAACAAGCTATCATTTTATAAGACTTACAAAAAAATTAGAAAGCTTGATAATGGCAAGAGCTGGCAGGAATGGAGAAATCCTCACGTAGGGCTGGTGGGACTGTGGACAGAACACTCAGGAGAAGAACATGGAGCCCTCCCTCAAACTCAGTATATGCACACCCTTTGGTTGACCAGCAAGTCTCCTCATAGGTAGAACCTTAAGAACTGCTCATTCAGGGGCACATATGGAGATACTCATTGTGGTGTCGTTAGTAGTGATGAGGCGGTGGAGCGCATCTTTGCAAAAACTGAGACACATTGTTCAATACCATGGAGTATGTGGCAAACAGAAACCACAGTCTAGAAGCAGACAGAAGAAATTACATGGCTCCTAACACAATACTGAGGGAGCAAAGTAAGAAACAGAATGAGATAAAAGATACACATTGTCCGAGAAGAGAGTTTAGAAGTACACATTAAAATAGTGGCCTATAGAGGAGGAAAGGGAGTCAGGAAAAGAATGAAAATGAATGAATGGAGAGGCCTGTGATGATAACATGCCACCGATGGAGGAGTATGATTAATTCAATCCCTCTATAGCTGAGATCGAAATAGAGAATAGAGGAGGAGAGGAAAAAGTCTCTGCAATGAAATGAGCATGGATTAATCTGCTGCCATCCTCTCTCTGGCAACAGAGACATTTGGAAAATACCAGCAACTGATAGACCTTAATTATGACCCTGTCTTATACCCCACAGGCACTATACATCCTGAGAGAAATTTCAAGATGAAAGCAACAAATTCAGAAATGCCCCCAGAGGAACTTCCTTCTGCTACCTGTTCATTCTGGCTCTGATAAAATGCTGGCATTCAGATTCCCACCAAAACATTTTCCAGAAAGAGAATGCTAGACATTTGGTATTTAGATATTAAAGGTGAAGAAAGCAGTACCCCACTCTTAAATTCATATCAGATTGATTTCTTAACTTTAAAAGAGTTTTGATTGTGGTATAAATAGAGTTGCAGAACAATTCAGAGCCTGAGCAAGAGTGCCACCTGTGGCAGTTAAGCCCTGTGGGTGGGTGTGGGGTGAGACTGCAAATTACTGCGACCAAGAGATACTAAAAATACCACCACTTTGGAGGGGAAGGGCAGCTAAGGCACTGTATGGCATGAAAAACGGTCCTGATGCCAGAGGAGGTGAGGAAGCACCAACCCAGAACACCACCCTGGGTTTGCCAGCTTGGAAATCAGTGGTCAGGCTATCTTAAAAACCTGGAAACATAATTTCTATCTAAACTACTCCTGGAAAAGTAGCCCCTATGTTTTAACCCATCTTTTTCTCTCCTGCTTGCTAACTGAAAGTGTAAGCAATTGAAGAATCATTACAGACTCAGGGCAGCCAACTCTCTATACTCTGAATAACAGGATGCCAAAGCAAAATGGTATAAATGTCTGTTTTCCAAAATGGAACTTTTTGTATTGTTCTTTTCTTAGGGAGGTAGAATATCCTTGTGGTTAACAGTAGAACCTTTAGAGTTAGAACTCAGATTAAATTGTGTCCCCTGAGTCTACTATTCTCAACTTCCTAGTCTACAAAATAGGTCAAAAACACTTATCTCACAGTGTTGCAAGCATTAAATGAACTAATGTGCATAAAACATTCCAAAACAGAGTTAAGTGGTCAATAAATTCCACCTATTTGTAGCTATCATTGTAAAATATATCCTCACTGTAGGCAATGCAAAGCATAGAGAAGTATTTAAAGTATAAGGTCAGTTCATCCCAATAATCCACGTTCTACCCTGATAAACAGTTTGATAAAAAATGTATTTCCAGACTTTTTTTCTATCAATATATCTAGATGAATTAAGTTATTTTATTAAATGCACTGTTCTCTAACCTGATTTTTTAAAAACTCAACAATATACTGTGGGCATCATTTCTACAAATACACCTAGATCTCTCTTATTCTTTTTAAAGGCTACATAGTACTCTACGACATTTTAAATCAGTTTCCTATTGGGCATTTACATTGTCTCCAATTCTTTACCATTATTACCAATACTTCGGTGAACTTTGTTGCACAAACATCTTTGTGCTCTAGTCTATTCCTTTAGGATAAAATATTGGGTTAAAGGATATTCACTTTTCACATATTCCCAAAAGGCCTTACAGAATGATGGAACTAGTTGGCATGCCCACCAATAAAATCAGGGTCATCTTTCAAATTTATTGGCACTTATCTCAAGGAGAGAAAAGCTGGTTCATAAGATCACAGTTATAAGAAAATTTCAGGTCAGGTCTCCATTCATATGCTTCTCACCCCCCATAGGTCTTGGGTCCTCAGAAGTAGTGTGTCCCAGGTTGGGGCATAGTATGGGCATCTGTTACTTTAGCCTGCTTGGCATCTAGCCTCTCTAATCCTGGTGAGTTCTCTGATTTCCCTCTGGCAAACTACTCTGATCCCATTTTATGCAGTATGCTTGAAACTGTCAATCGAGGTATCTTGTTTTCCCCTTGGTGGGTCAAAGCTATACCAACTTAATGCTCTTTTCTGGAAATCTGAATTTTCAGAAGAGTGAGGCAAGGACTAAAAACAGTTTAGAGTTTTATCATCCTGCAAATATCAAAAAGACTCTTTCTCATTGGTTCCTGGGTCTCTAGAGCTAGTATATTTTCAGGCCTGGTTCTTTAGTTCTTCTTGCCTTACTGTGAGTTACCCTACCACCTTCCATATTCCTTCATAATTAATACTATTGTTTTTGCTATTGTTATTTTAGCCCGAGTTAGTTGGAGTTGATTTCAGATATTCTAAAACTGTACCACTGATACACAGTGGGAGGATAATGATTTCTTTGCTTCCCTGAATATTTACTTTAAAAAAATTTCCCTGTTCAATTCTTGAGAGGAAGAAAAAAAATGAAGAAACATTTTTTTCCTTCTCCTAAAGGACTCTTAACCTATGAAAGCAACCATTCCAAATTATTCAATATCTCATGTAAAACTCCTGGTAAATTTCTATTTCTGAAAGAATGCAAGAAGAAAAATCTGTGTCTTATAAGGGATTTCATAGACAGACAGACAGACACACACACACACACACAAATTTTCTTTGGATTTCACAGACAGACAGACAGACACACACACACAGACACACACATAGACACACACACACAAAATAGCTTATCTTCCTTTTGTCCAGAGAAGCACTGTTTAACTAATTTTTCTGACATGACTGGAACTCATAGTAGGGCTATCTTTGCATTTTTTTCCAAGCAGATTTTACAAAGCAAATCTAAGTCAAGGGGACAGGATTTCCTTTGTACTCGTGTAGCAATCTAGAAGGAATTTGTTTTTTCTCCTATGCACCAAGGAGATAATCAGCCCAAACGCTCTAGCAGTAGCAGTTTTATTTTAATCTCCTCATCTCTACAAGGTTGAAGGTGCCCTTGGAAATCATGATTAACCAGAGTGCTCAGAGCCAGCAGCAGGGAAAACGTCCTGTATATTCTACAGAGGCTGCCCACGGTCACTGCCCTCAAAGAAGATTATTACAGAGCTCACCATCTTTACTCGGTCCTCTCTCTAAAGAGGCAACAGCACACAGTTACTAAGTGATCACTAAGATAGTTACTGCCTCTCCAGTCCTTTGAGCAAGACTATGTCGGAAGCAAAGTCAACTCTGGCTTTATCACGGGACTGGGCTCTTGGGGAGCAGGGTATTAATGGATTAAGTGACTTTTAAGTGATGATTGGAGCTACATTCTTAAGATGACCTAGGATTAACTGAGATAATGTACATGAAAATGTTTTGTAAAGTGTTAAGAGTTACATAATGCTAAGTGTCATTACAGCCCTGCAGTCAGGCTCACTGAATGTCCTGGAGTCACTGATGTGGTAAGTCAGGGTGGAAGTGTCTCAGGCTGCTGGGGAAAATGGGGGCAGACCCAACATGCCCACAGCACCTCCTGGTGGCTCTTCCCCTGAGTAGCAACTTCTCATAGCCCAATCCCAACCCCAGCAGTAGACAATTACACAAGCACCATACTTACTCCCTTCGCTCTGATTGTCTTTGTTCGAGTTGTAGACCTAGAAAATAGAAATAAACATTTACTTGTGTGTACTTTACACCACCCTACAGGTTCAGTGAAGAAAATCATTATCTTCCCATTTCTCCTAGTTTGCACTATAAGATGAAAGGCAATTTCTAGCCGCCAAATATGAATCCCTTCTATAATCCTCTACTTCTCAGCTGTTCTTAAGTGTATTTACATTAGAATCATGTATGGAACTTTATTATAAAAATATCATATTCCTTCTTTTAATAAAAACAAACTATGTGTGTATGTAAAGTTAAAAAGGAGAAAATATTTTACATTAGTTATAAATCATTAAGCATTAACTGTGTACCAGGCAATGTGCTAAGCAATTCACATGAATTATCTCAAATTATCCACACAACATTTCTGGTGGGTAGGAACTGTTATTATCATTGTTTGACAAATGGAAAGTTTGAGATTTAGAAACGTTAACTAAGGCCTCACAGCTAGTAAGCGGCAAATTCAGGACAAAGAAACATTACAAACTGTTAAGTGTTAACACTGGGGATTGGGACCAGTCATTCTTTACCTTACAGACTTTTGAAATTTTTAATTTTATAAGAATATATTACTTTTACAATAGAAACTCCTTAAATGACTTACAGAAATCATAAAAGAAAAAGTGCCCCCATCCAGAAAAAGGGAAAGTGTCCTATATTAAAAACAGATATTGACATATTGCAAGAGTTGGCAAGCTTTTCCTATAAAGGGTCAGACAGTAAATATTTTAAGGCTTTGTGGGCCAGGAGGCAAAAATCAATGATATTATGTAGGTACTTGTATAACAAGAGTAAAAAAAAAACTTTCTACAAATTATTTGCTGATAAAATTCAAAATGCAATAACTTCTCAAAATACAGGTATAATATCCCTAGCAGGAGAAAATCCCTTTTAGGGTTTCATGGCTCTCTTTTCAGAGATTCTTGGCTCAGTTTCCCTAAAGATTAAATAAGTGGTTCTCAACCAATAGTGGTCATCAGAATCATGTGCTGTATCTTTTTTTTTTTTTAAGTTATAATGACCTGCTTCACCCTATTAGGCCTTTTCATACCTATAGAATCATAACTGCCAAAGAAAGATTTAGGCACTGATTTTTTTCTAAAGTAAAGGCTTTATTTTAATAGTGTCGGCATATCAGGAATTGGCAAAGTATGGTCCACAAGCCAAATTCACCTCATTACCTGCTTTGGTATAGCCTTTGAGCTAAACCCAGTAACTGTAGATGAATGAATATCTGCAATAGATTTGATGATAGGAAATACTAGCTTTGTACCCTAAGTAAGCTAAATGTTACTCCCCCTCTAAAAAAAAATCAATTTCCTCATTAGTAGATCTGTATTTCAAAAACTTGTATTCCTTGGAAAAGATATTCTCTCTGTATCAGAGGGAACACAGATGCCCACTCTCCCCTGGCAGTACCTCCAACATGGATATAAGTGGAGAATTTTAAGTAGACAATGGTTTTCTAATTGAACCTCACAGCACTTGTACAAGGATGCCAAAGAGGCTGGGAGAGAAGCTAAGATTCTGAGTATCTAAATGTCCTCCTTCCCTTCGTTTGTACTGGCTTTATCCATATGACTATCAAATAAGGGCATACTAGCTTTGAAAGTTTAAAGACCTCTTAAATGGGTAACTTCTGAAGTTACTTGCAATTCACTAATTTGTTTATTCATTTATGCATTTCACAAGTATTTACTGTGTGCTTATAATGACCAGGCAATGTTCTAGGTGCTGGGAATATGGATAAACACAATGGCTATGATCTCTGCTTTCCTGAATCTGCCTACTACGGAAGAGAACAGAAATAAACAGATATATAAATATGATATTCAAATATTGATAAGTACAGTGGAGAAAATAAAAGAGGCTACTGTGGACATAATGTGGGGAAAAGCTTCCCTGAAGAGGTGACATTTGCATGAGACCTGAATGATCAAAGAGGACCTCCTTGGGAAGACTTAGGGCCAATGCCAACCACAAGTGCACTTTTTTGAGATGAAAAAGCCATGGCCTTTCGGAAGGAGGAAGGCCAGTGCGGTTGGCATTGGTGCAAGGCAGGAGATGAGGACGGGGCAGAGGGGCAGAGATGTCATTCTTGTGACCTGTGAGAGAAATGAGTAGCCTCGAACATAATAGCTAAAACCAGTGATCCACGGTGACTAGTATTTACAAACCTTGGAAAGCTGGGTAAGGAAAGTGCAGGGGAAGAGACTGCATTTTGGCAAGTAGTTTTTTCAGCCATCCCTGATCACTTCATTCTTCCCATTAAATTCAAACATCCTATCCCAGAGAAACTTGCTCTTATTTATAAATGGCAAAATCTGGAAGGAATGGCAAAATGCAGGGCTTTCAGCCCTTCTTTAATAGAAAGTGAGTTTGAACCAAATTATTTTCCTTCTAGGCTTCCTGGGTCTCAGGAGGTCCCTGCCTGGAACACCCAAGCATTCTCCAAATTGGAAAGGTGTGATCAATGAGCCAAAGGCACCAGACACATGTGTCACCCGATCCTCTGCGGCCAGGCCATTAATCTCTGCCTGGTTTGGGTAAATGAGCCAAAGAGAATGAGTTTTGAAATGAAGCTAATAAACCATGCCCAACAGCAGTGTGTGACTACAAGGCCCAACTGGGAAGGCTCAGGGTCTGGGAGCAGCTTCACAAAGGCCAGATGGTACATGGGAAGAAGGTGGAACCCTCTTATCATGAATTAGGTGAGGACAACAGCACTAAGAAGGAATGGCTTTCTTTATGGAACATTTACCAGTACCATACATGATATCATCTAATCCTTGAAATTACCTTATGGTTTAGATACTAGTGTTATTCTCATTCTACAGATGTGGAACCTGAAGCCCAAAGAGGTTACACAGTTTGTCCAAGGACAGAGAACTGGTAGAACTGCATACTACTATTCAATCTTGCCTTTACAGGAATGTTACAATCCTCTTTTACATTTCCAGGCAGTGGCAAATGCACACAACACCGAGCCACTCCAGTCGTCTGTGGTTCATAAATACCTTACATACTGGCAGAGGCAAAGAGTCAGTTTTTCTGGGGAAACCTTCTTCCACAGAAATCATGGTTGCCCACTTGTGTCAGAATGAAGTTCAGAGGTAAGTGCAATTTCCTGAAATGAAAGGTCTCTGGCCGTGACTTCTGTCTTATGATCGGCAGAGTTATCTTACATTTACATGCTTTCAAATAAGTGCCTCCAGAGCATTTGTCTTGGAAGGACAGGACACAACTCTCCAGGATCAATTCAAGGGGACATGAGTCACTAAACAATGCCTGAATTATGGTTCCCAGGAAGACTGAATCAGTTAACATACCTTCTCTACAACCCAACTTAAGCCATAGTTCATCCTTCTTAGCCAGGGTACTCGAAGACCTGGCCGCGCTAAAGTTTCTTAGTCTTCTGGCTTTATAAACTTTGATATAGGTATGCTCTAGGTTCTGCTGAACACTGTATGTGAAGTTTTATTAAATATCCATGCCAATAAATGTTTGTTTTCAAGTGTATGCTTCTAGAGAATAGGAATTACACGTGTTTATCTTATCAGGGTCCATCTGAGAGTCATTATGGAATAATTACAAGAGCAATAATAATGAAAACGATGATGACAAAAGCCTAGTTATGCGTCAGAGACCATGCCAAGCACTGAATATGCACCATCTTGTTTAGTTAAACCTAATTATTCCCATCATACAGATGAGAAAACTGAAGCCTTAAGGAAGTCAGGTCACTTGCCCAAGGTCAGGTAGCTAGAATTGGTCAGAATCCAGACATGAACTCCTTCCTACAATCTGTCTCCAGAGCCTAAGCTCTTAACCACTAACCACATAATAAGAAAGACATGATGATGATGATGATGATGATGATGATGATGATGATGATGATGGTGATGATGGTGATAAAGGTAATGAGCTGTCCTGGGCAGCTAAGGTAAGTCACTGGAGGAAAGAATTTGTCACGAGTCAGAGAGAAAATAAAACTGGGAACGGCCTTCTGATTCCAACCTAAAGCGTTTATCACTAACCTATGCAACAAACTGGCATCTAACAAAGAAGTAACACTCCATATTCTCTCTGAATCACAGGGCTTGAACCTGAAGATAAACAATGGGCAGGAAAGTGGGTCTTTGATAGAGATCATAGAGCACAGTAATTCTATGAGTCCTCACCCAGAAGCTACAGTGGGAGTGCAATTTAATAAATCAAAGGAGGGTGAGGAAAGCCTTCATATGCTTCCTCTGCACTAAAATGTGATTTTGCAATAAATTCTGTTCACTGTTGAGCCAACTCAATTTATATGTCCCTAGAGAATTAAGAGAGACTACAGAATCATTTAAATTCCTAGAATTTTTCTAACGGTAACCTTTATTACCATTATCCAGGCCTTAATAAGAAAATACAGAGAGGAATTTCTTAACTTGTAAATTAAAAGCATAAGTAAAGCAATAATTAGACAAAGCAATCTCACTTTCTCTCAGCTGCATTAGTACTTGGTCACACCACACTTTGGATCCAAATCTGCACAAAATGAAGGTGTTGGAGAAATAAATTCATAGGCAAATTTATTTAAAACTACTGCTCCTATCTAAACTGCACTTGAACTCACACCTAAGCTCTGTATCTCTGAGGTCTCTTCCAAGTAGCCTGGAATATCTAAACCCCTTCCACTTGGCTGTTCTCCTAACATGCCAATGTGGAGACATACAAAACAGAACTACATACCCACAACTTAAATTACTACACCATCAGATATCATTCTGCCTCTTCTCTGTGTAATACAATGGACCCACCAACACTCGGACTTGCTCTTTTGAATTGTTTCTCTATTTATACTAATCTGTTGCTTAGGTTCAAAGTCCAGCTCTACCAGTCCAATCACTTAACATCTCTAAACCTTGGTCTTGCCAGCTGTAAAATAAGGATACTAATATTCCCTACCTGTTGAGGCTGTTGTAGAAATTAAATGAAAAAGAAAGCA